AAATTGGGACACTACGGGTACTTATGAGGCACCGAGTAAAACTCAACCTCATACATCTAGTGGAGGTATGTACAACCTTAGGGAAGATCATAAACATAAATGCTAATTAATTTTTTATATTTATTTATTTCTAATAAAAAAAATTTCAACTATCCTTTAAATATCCTAAATAATTTCTTTATAAAGTTTTTTATATTTTTCATTAAAAAACATTTAAACTACTATTAAAATATATAAAAAGAAATGCTAATCTATTTTTTATATAATATTAAAAAACAAAACACTTAACTAGCTTTAAAAAATCCTAAATAGAAAAGCTACTTAATATTTTTTTTATTTTTTTATTTTATTATTATAAAAATATTTAAACTACAAAGTATCCTAAATAAATGTTTTATAAATTGTTTCTAGTTTTTATAAAACAAAATCATAATATCTTTGAAGTATCATAAACATAAATACTAATTTTTTTTTTTTTATTTTTTAAAGAAAAAAAATGAAATATCCTTGAAGAATCATCTATAAAAAATTTAAAATATCCTTGAAGAACCATCTATAAAGTTTTTATATACTTTGTCTACTTCTTTTTTTAAAAAAATTAACTAACCTTAAAGTTTCATAAATATAAAAGTCAATTAATTTTTTAATATTTTTATTTTTAATATAAAAAATTTGTACTATCCTTGAAATATCCAATATAATTATTTTTAAAATATTTTTTATTTTTATAAAAAAATATTTAAACTACTCTTGAAATATTCTAAATGGAAATGCAAATTAATTGTTTTATTTTTTATATAAAAAACATTTAAACTATCATTAAAGTATCCTAAATAAATTTTTTAAAATATTTTTTTATTTTTTATATAAAAATAAACTACCCTCAAAAATATTTTTATAATTAGTTTTTGCATTTAATAAAAAAAAACATTTGAACTACTATTAAAATATCCTAAATAGTATTTCTGTAAATGTTTTCTATTTTCCACAAAACAAAAATATTCAAATTACTCTTAAAATATCCTAAACAGAAATGCAATTAAATATTTTTTATAATTTTTTTATATAAAAAATATTTTAATTACCCTTGAAGTATCCTAAAGAATTTTTTTATTTTTTTTCTACTTTTTATAAAACAAAATTAAACTACCCTTGAAGTATCATAACTATAAATGCTAAATAAGTTTTTTTATAATTGTTTTTTATTTTTAATAAAGATATTTGAACTTTATATATAATTTTTTATATATTTTTCTACTTTTTATAAAACAAAATTAAACTACCCTTGAAATATTATAAACATAAATGCTAATTAAATTTTTAACTTTTTTATTTTTAATTAAAAAAATTGAATTATCCTTGAAGTATCTTATATAATTGTTTTAAAAAAATATATTTTTTATTAGAAAACATTTAAATTAGCTTTGAAGTATTCTAAATAATGTTTTTTAAATATTTTTTCTATTTTTTATATTAAAAAATTAAACTACCATTGAAGTATCATAAACATAAATTGTAATTAATTTTTATATGATTTGTTTTTATTTTTAATAAAAAAAACATTTGAACTACTTTAAAGTATCCTAAATAATTTTAAAACAATTTCTATTTTTCATAAAAAAATTTAGTTCAAATGTTTTTTTGTAAATGTTTTTTATATAAAAAAATTAAACTACCATTAATGTATTATAAACATAAATATTTTTATAATTTGTTTTTATTTTAAATAAAAAGGTTGAAGGACCTTTAAGTATCCTATATGTAAAAAAAATTAAACTTCCATTAAAGTATCATAAACATAAATATTTATAAATTTTTTATAATTTGTTTTTATTTTAAATAAAAAAGTTGAAATACCTTTAAGTATCCTAAATAATTGTTTTTGTAAATGTTTTCTATTTTTCATTAAAAAAAACATTTAAATTGCCTTTAAAATATTCTAAACTTAAATGCTAATAAGTATTTTTATAATTGATTTTATTTTTTTATAAAAAATATTTGAACTACCCTTAAAGTATTCTAAATAATTATTTTATATACTTTTTATACAACAAAATCAAACTACTCTTGAAGTTTCATGCTAATTAAAATTTTAATAAGTTTTTTAATAAAAAAACATATAAACTATTCTTGAAGTATCATAATAATTGTTTTTAAAATGTTTTTTATTTTTTATAAAAAAAACATTTAAACTACCCTTAAAGCATTCTAAACAAAAATACTAATTATTTTTTTATAATTTTTATTTTTTACAAGAAAAACATTTAAACTACTCTTAAAGTATCCTAAATAATTTTTTAAGAGATGTTTTTTATTCTTTAAAAAAACATTAAACTACCCTTAGAGTATCATAAACATATATGCTAATTAATGTTTTTATTTTTAAGAAAAAACATTTGAAATACCTTTAAAGTATCATAAATAATTGTTTTTATAAATATTTTGTATTTTTCATAAAAACAAACATTTAAACTATTGTTAATTAATTTCGTAAGTGCACAAATCGTAACAAATAATAAAATGATGAGTAGAGTACCATCCTACAAGGATTTGTAAAAATTACTACTAATTATCAAATTTTTTTAATTATGATCTATTTAAGGAATCAAATGAAATAGTTTACGAAACAAAAAT